AGTTCCCCGGCGACTTCCTGTCGTTCGTCGAGTGCTACTCGTTTGGTAAGCCGGTCGAGCCAGGCAAGCTGCTGTCGCTGATGCCCAAGCCGGTGACGATCAACAACCCGGTCGTGCAGCTGCGGGCCGACATGAGCCGCGACGATATTTCTGAGCAGATGGTCCCGCCGCACTTCACGAACCTCCAACACGGCCTGTCGATCGCCCGCCGTCAACTCGCTGTGCAGGACACGCCTAACCGGCAGATTGTGCTGATCACCGACGGCCTGCCGACCGCTCACTTCGAGGGAGAGGTGCTCTACCTCCTCTACCCCCCCGACCCCAGGACCGAGGCCGCGACGCTCCGGGAGGGGATGCTCTGCGCCCGCGAAGGGATCACGATCAATCTCTTCTTGCTGCCGAGTTGGTCGCAAACCGAAGAGGACGTGCGGTTCGCGTATCGGCTCGCCGAATCGACTCGGGGCCGGGTTTTTTTCACCGCGGGACGGGATTTAGACCGCTATGTGGTCTGGGATTACGTGTCGCGACGTCGGGAAGTGCTGGGATAGGGTCCCGAGTTGGCCCTTAGCCACCCAGACGGAGGGGCGGTAAACTTTCCCCAACCGGTCACAGCCCCGCTGTCGGGATCGGCGGCATACCCGGCGAAGACCGACGCGGCGCCCGTTGCGGAACACCGAGACGAGGCAACGCCGGTACAACCCGCTAGCGACGCCGACCGATAAACCAGGAGACGTCCACCTTGTCGCTCCCAACTGACGCCTCTCCCCCCGGAGTCGCTGTTCACATGCGCCTTGCTTCGCTGAACGCCGTTTGTTTGTTGAATCGATTCGCCCCGGTCGCACTGACCGTTGCCTTGGTGGCGTCAGCCGCTGCGGCTTGGGCTGCGCCGAAAGCCGCTGAGATCTTCCCCGCGGAGACCGTCGGCTTTGCTGCGGCCGAGGACGCCGTCGATCTTGGCGAGCGGTGGGAAAGGACCCAAGCCGGCCGCTTTACGTCCGACCCGACGATGAAGCCGTTCGTTGATCAGGTCCGCAGGCGGATGAGCGGANNCAGCGTCTCGGCGTGACGATCGACGATTTTCGCAACGTCGCCACCGGCGAGGTGGCCGTCGGCGTCGTGAAGTCGAATGTCAAGAACCAACGCGGGACGCTCGCCGCACTGGTCAACGCAACGGGACGTGACGCCGAAGCGAAGTCATTGCTCTCGAGTATCGACAAACGCTTAACGCAACGCGGCGCCAAGCGGTCCACCGCGGGCGAGCTTACGGTCTATGTTCTCCCCGAGGATAAGCAGGCAGACCTAACAGAGCGCACCGCCGCTGTCTTCCACCAAGGGGGCTACGTCGGCGTCGCCGAGAGCCAACAGGTTGCGGCCGACTTTCTCACCCGCCTCCGCGGTCAGAAGTCGGGAGAGGTGCTCGCAAACGTGGCGGCCTACAAAGAAACCCAAGCCCGGGCCCGCAAGGCCGCCGGTCGCTCCGAGACCCACTTGAGTTGGTATCTCGCGCCATTCGAGTACCAAGCCGCTACCCGCGACGCCATAACCGAGGGCGTGCTGCCGGACAAGAAAGACACGCTAGCCATCCTCGCCGAGCAGGGCTTTGACGCCATTACCGGCATCGGCGGCTTAGTAAGCGTTGCGACGTCGCCGGAGCGCGACTTCGTGCACCATACCTTCGTTTTCGCGCCCCCGAAGCCAGGGACCGCGGGCAAGCCAGCGGACCAGCGGTACGAGGGGGGGATGCGGATGCTCGAACTCCCGAACTCCGCCGAACGTCTCTCGGCCGATAGCCCGCCGGTCGAGCCGTGGGCGCCACGCCAGGTGGCGACCTACAAGACCCTGCACGTCGATGTTGAGAATGTGTTCGAGCACCTACCGTCCACCTTCGACGCCTTCGCCGGCTACAAGGGCGCCTTCGAGAACGTTCTCACCGGACTTGAGAAGGACCCCTACGGACCCAAGATCAACGTCAAGCGTGATATCCTCCCGTATTTCGGCACACGGGCGGTCGTGATGACCGACTATACGCTTCCCATCGATCCCAAGTGTGAGCGATACCTGCTCGTGATCGACGTCAAGGATGAAGCCGCCCTCCGCGAGCCGATCGACCGCTGGCTCTATAGCGACGGCGCCGAACAGAAGGAGATCGAGGGCGTTCCCTATTGGGAAATGGTTCCCGAAGATCAAGCCCTGGGGCACGACGACCTCGACCCGCTGGCGCCGCTCGGCGAGCCCGTTCAGCAGGTCCAAGGCGAGCGTGAAGAGCGAGTCCTGCAACGCGCCGCCGTCTGCCTCCACCAGGGCCGGCTAGCGATCGCTTCCGACGCCGACTTCCTCCGTCAGGCGGTGTTCGGCGTGTCGGCGGGCGAGTCGCTCTCGCACAGCCCCGACATGCGGGCCACGATCGGCGCCCTCGCCGATATCGCCCCCGGCGATCGCTGCGTCTGGACTTTTACCCGCAGTGACGAGGCGTTCCGTCCGACGTACGAACTTGTCCGCGAAGGCAAGATGCCCAAGTCGCAGACGTTCTTCGGCCGGTTGCTTAACCGCATGATGACCACCGAAGAGCAACGCGAAGTCGGCGCCGAGCGAGAGCAGAAGGTCCAAGGCGACCGCCTGCCGTCGTTCGAACTGGCCCGCCGGTACTTCGGCCCCTCGGCGCGCAGCGTCCGCAGCGAAGACGACGGCTGGCTGATCAGCGGCGTCGTGCTGAGCAAGGCGCCAGAAGGCGACCGCCCGGCGGCGTCGGTTGCGCAGAACCAACGATAGAGTTCGCCTGCGAGAGTCCCCCTCCCTAAAACGGAGGGGGGATCTACGGCGACTCTACCTTCGCCCAATAGGGCCGCTTCCGATCCGCCCGCGTCCGCACGTCTTCAAGCAGTGTCTTCAGGTCGGGCTGTACCCGTTCGTCACGGGCGACGAGCCGCTTGCCGTTGTGCTCGATCTCAATCGGTTCGGTGAAGTTCACGAGTTCGGGTGAGAGCCAAACCGTCACCTTCTCAGCGCCGGTGTAGAGGCCCAGCTTGTTGCCGCTGAACTTGCGGCCACGGATCGACGCCGCGCGGACGCCGCGATCCGGGGGCCACTCGGCTGGAGCTGTCATCGACTTCTCGGGGAGGCCGCTGGCCTCGATCCACCAAAAGAAGTTGTCCCACGGCCGCATCGTGAAGCACTCGAACTCCTCGGGCGGGGGCCCACGACGCTTGCGATTCATCCATTCGAAGGCGAGTTGGAGGTCGTCGGACAGCGGGTCGTAACCGCGTCCGCGGTACTCGACGACGGTCGTATCGTTCCGAGGACGCAGGTAGCGATCGAGTTCGCGCGCGTTGCGGGCGATCTTGTCGCCGTCGAGTTCGCCGAGCACGATGCGCCACGGGACGAACTCGGAGTTTTTCCAATACCACGCACAGTACTGATCGGCGACGCCGAGGAAGGGGAGGGCGCCCGCCCATAAGTCGGGGTGGGCGAGCGCCAGGTCCCACGCCAAGTCGCCGCCGGCGCCGTGCCCCGTGACGAATACCCGGTCGGGGTCGATGGCGACCCGGCGCATCGCGTCTCGAAGCGACGCGAGCACCGCCGCGTGCTCTTCGGCGGTATAACCATAACGGAGTTGATCGCTCCAAGCCCATTCGACCGCGACGACGACATAGCCGTG